GAACTGCCCGCGGCTACTCGCGGCAATCAAACGTTAACTTGAACTAAGCCCTTAGTTCGAGTTAACTGTTACACCTCATACACGAGGTGTAATAGTTAACTCGAACTAAGGACTTAGTTCGACTTAACGTTTGACTGCCGCGTGTAGCCGTGGGCAGTTACTTCGGACTAAGGGGATTTAAAAATGGTGCCTAGATGGGAAGATGCAAATAAAGCCCGGGATATTTAAATCCCAGGCTTCATTTGCAACTTCGAATGCCTACATTAGCCTCCCTAGTTCAAACTAGGGGGCTAGTGTAGACATACCCTAACAAAGTTCAGCGTATATAAAAAAACCCCGTGACTAACATTATTTATTCCCAAATTTAGTGCTTGTAATTAAGTACTTTCTGCATGTCCAATCTTCACAATCTGGCATGCAGTGGAAAACATGCTCCATTTTCTTTAGAAAGAAATTTTAGAAGAGTGATTTTTTTCTCAACTGTCATTTGCTGCAGTGGGGTTCATGGACATGGCCGTAAAGGGGAAGGAAGAGAAGGAAGTGGGAAGGAAGAGAAGAGGGACACAGTGGTGTGTGTGTGTGTGCGGGCCTGCGGTAGAGCAGGGGTGGAGTATAGGCTGGTCTCCGCAACCATCAGCCCGTGTGCCACAGGAAGGGATTAGGAGGACTGAGGTGCACCAGTGCTGAAGGCCCCTGCAGTGCCAGGGAAATGATTAAGTGAGATATACCCACATACTGCATCAGCTTCCTGCTATGGGTACCCTGCCAAGCTCGGCTTAAGGTAAGTCGACTCCAGCAACGTATTCCACATAGCTGGAATTGTGCACATTGTAGCACAGATTGTTATTATTAGACCATGACCAATTGTACTATTGAATATCATCCTATTGTATTACTCCAATCTTAAAGGTCATCCAGATTGTTTATGTGGTAGCATGTCAAAGGTTTTTACTGATCTCCAGGGATATTTGGGTCTGCTGCATTACCTTATCTAAAACCAGGAGTTAACTTAATTTTTTTTAAGTTGGGCATGGTGGGCAAACTTCAGTTCCCACCCCAGCAGGGCAAACTGCTCCCAGTGTCTGGTATTTTCTTTCTGGGTCAACAGGAGTGGCAGGAAGTGGCAGCTAGCATATCCTTGCTTCCTGTAGCTCCCATTGGTTGGGAACGATGAACAGCAGCCAATGGGAGCTGAGAGGCTCTGTACCTGCAGATGCTCCAGGTAAACAAAATGTTAGGTCATGCCAGTGACTTAGTCCAGCTGAGACTAGAAGATTGCAAACCATCAATATAGAGTCGGCTTATGAATGGGTCATTGTGATTTTTACAATTTTTTTTTAATTTGGGGGAATCGGTTTATGAACGAATGAGTTTATGGTTGAGTATATATGGTACATGTAATATAGTCTTCAGATTTTATAGCACATAAAATATAATACTTTTTTAGTATAAATTCCCACGTCCGTGAAGTGTCTGGTCTAAATGACTTATAGTTGTGACTTGTTTCTTTTTTTCTCACGCATAGCAAGATTGTGATTAATAAGCATGTACTCACATGAATAGTAAACTATTTGAATGAGTAAGGTGATCAGAAGAATGATGTAGGGGGTTATAAGTTGACTCCAGTTAATGGTGTGGCAAATATAGATCTGTAGGACAGAATGTCATGCACTTTTTCAGAGTGGTCTGCACATGTGTGCACTTAAATGGCCAAAACCTACAGAAGCTGAGGTGAGAGATTTTGCAATTGCATGTGTGACCCTAACCTCTTTGCCCTTGTCTTGGAAGGATTGTTAAAATTAAGTAGCATATCAAAAAACATTTAACTGAGAATGGACCATAGGAGATGCCCATCTATACTGAATGGACTTTTCTGTGGACATACCATCTGAAGTAAATAATGGCTTCTGCTGTGACACAGTAAAATCAGGCGATTTGCCCAAGTGACATCAAACCCCATCTTGTTCCCTGTGATTTTCCACTAGCTGTTCTTAGGGTTTTGTTTGAAACAATGGATTTCCCTTCACATTGTAGAAGCTAGAAAAGGCCCTGGAATGATCTACATTTTTCCTCTGTCCTGCTCCAGCCTACTCATAGTACTCAAACTTATGGACTATGGACTTATACTAATGGGGACTGAGGTCCTTCCAATGATTTGGAAGTAACCAGAAACTTGACTTAAGCCAATAGTTTACCACATCACTATTTCAAGCCTATTGTATGTATTTGATTCCATTGACCAATCTTTTCTTTTCTTTTCTTTTCTTTTCTTTTCTTTTCAAGATTGGCAACAATCTAAATTCTGGGTAAAGAACTAAGTTCTATATTGACTTATGAGAAGGTCTGTTCCTTTGGGATCAAAAGAACCTTTTATTTGATGAGACTAGTTGTAAAGAATCACTCATCTCTTAATCTACTGTTTTTGGTGGTGATATTAATACTGTAATTCCTCAGGAAACTGCTGACATGACTTCTTGTTAGTGTGGTTAGATAAAAAGTTGCTTTTTTATCTGGTTTGGTATATCTTATGGGGAAATAGTCACTAGCATTTTTGGGTATATTTGCCCTGTTTCTCAGCAGTGTGACCTGAATTTGATGTTCTCAGTTGTGACCCATGAAGGCATGGTTACACCATCCATATATAGCCAAGCAAGAGATTAAAATAAAGCTGAAATGGTGCTGATGAAACTGTACAATGCTGAAATAATTAAAATATTATTTTAAGGATGAGCAAGAGAAAGGTCATTTTGTTGAGAAGTGGAATCAATGTTAATGTAGGGAATTAAGTTTCAGAAAAAGAACACTCTCCTGTGAAATATGACACCTGTTCCCCAAGGTTTGATTTGGATTTTATTTATGGATAGAAAACAATATTAAAAAAATATGGGAAATCCTTCCAGTCCCTAAGCCTTAGATCATTCTTTGAAACAAATCTGAATGAACTTTTTAGACATGTTAGCCATTACTTTATACTTCTGTTTCCAAACTAGATAAAATGCTATGAGAGAATTGCAGTTAAAGTATTTCTTGTCTGATCAGAAGCAGGAAGAACCAAAATCTCATGAGAGAACTTGTTTTCATCAGATCATTAGCTATACTTTGCAGACTCAAGATGTTTGGGTAAACTTGGGAGAGCATCTACACTTTAGGGGCCTACTCAAACCAAAACCAAATTCAGAATGTTTTGAGGATTTCCCATTTCTAGTTGTACCTGTAGTCCATATGGAGAAGAGGTCATGTAAAATAAAATAGCAGTAAAAAGCTAGAATATAAAAGTGCACAGTGCAACTATTGCTGTTTCTTGTTCTTCAGTCATATGATGGACTTTAAAAAAAGGCCAGCAAACTTTATTCCACAAAAAGATCTTTATGTTTTTGCACGTTTAAAGGACTACATCAATACAAATGATGGTAAGAGCATAATGACCTCATACTTGGTTCTGGAGCTGTGCATCTGAGCTGCTTAGTCATTTAAATCAACAGAGATAAGCATAGCAGAAGTTTCAAAAGGTCAAAGAAGCGACTGTCTTTTCTGTTTTGAATCAGCTGAGATTTTCCAGTTTCATGCAAACATAATGCCAAGCCTGCATCTGTGCTTCTGATTTCTTTCTTTTTTTCCCTTTGAAGATTCATAGTCATTAACTAAAGGGCAGATCACACCACACTGACTAGCAGAGTATTATATAGTGTAACTTCCTTTCTATTTTCTCCTTCCCATGACAGCTAGTTTCAAAAGGATTTTTGGTCCACTAAATGAAGTACCAGCCAGCACTTTTTTTACACTAAACACTTTACTTCACTTATTAAATTGAAATAAATATGCATGATAGTTCTGATATCAATTTGTCAGAAAAGAAATTGATAATTAATTCCTTGGAGAGCAATTAGTAAACAAAAGAAAAGCAAAAGGCTCAAGAAAATTGTTTTATTTTTGGGAAGGGGCTGTTAAAAAAAACCTGGTTATGTAGTTTTCATGGCATAATATTAATCCCAATATGCAGATGACATGTGAACTTCAATTATGTGAAATTAACTTCCTAAGAAAAAATTTCTAATATCTCTCCCTGTTAAATGAACTTTGGCTCTTATTTGCCACATTTTAAAATGTATTTGTTTTTACATTTGACTTGAATTTCTGGAACTCTAATCTGTTTGCTAAAATGCCTGCTTCTGCAGCATAATTATAAGGAATAAAAATAAAATCAAAATACAGGCTTGATTAAATCTGGTGTGACAGTTTAATATCTAATCCATTATCTCTCTGAGGGACTATATCTTGCATTTGCGGGGAATGGAGCAGATAAGGTAACAGTTCTTTTCCATCTGTGACCTCTCTGAGCCTATATTTTCTTGTTGAGTGTGTGTGTGTGTGTGTGCGTAAGAGAAAGGTACAGACATTATTCACAGGGTGCCTGTACATCACAGAGTAAAAATTTCATATTGTTTTTTGTATAGGTGTATATCCAATGAAACAAGCACATAATTTCATTAATCTAGATGTAGTGATCAGTCAAAGGTAATGATAAAATGAGGTTGTCCAAATTTATCCACACAGCAAGTTTCCAGTGTATCTTCTTTCATCAACAATTATTCATTATGCATTCCAGAATGACTTTGGTTTATTTTGTTCTTATGTATTTCTAGTTGCCACTCTGCTGTTGAAGTGAAAGTCTCCAGAAAAATCATAGAGCATTTCCATTTTGGGATGTATGGAGTTTTTGCAGAACTGGGACTGGCGCAGTGGCGTTCTTGGAACTTCTGGTTCATTATGCTGCTGATAGTTTTACTCTGGTTTGTGAGACTTTATCTGCATTATTGTAGTCAATGGCTCTTTCTTCAAGCCATCTCAGTTCCTGTTACAAAGTGAGTTCTTTTTTCTTCTTACTGTTAGATATTTATACCAGCAACTAAATGCATGGGATTTAAACAAGGAACTCCCTTAACATTAGGATGAGTATTGGTATGTAAGGCCTGTCCTGAAAAGTTTGGATCCAAATCCAACACTGAACTTCCAAGAAGTTCAGGAGTTTGAGGATCTGAGTTCTAGTTGGGTGCATCTCTATTTATATTATGCCCTAATAGTACATGTGACGATGAAAGGAAAGATAAAATTGCTATAGATTTCTAAATATTGTACTTCATATATGTGCTCATACATATAGATATAGATCTCCCACCACTCATCTACCCACTGTACAGTTTATTATAAGAAACATTATTATCATTTTAAATCAAAAACACACAAGAAAAAAATGATAATCACCGTATTCACAATTTGATTTTATTAAAGTACATTATGCATAAAATATGTTTTGCAAGTAATCTAAGTTTGATACATGTCCTTTACTGAGAAGAGCAAAAACTTCCTCTGCAAAATGAATGAATTTGAAGATTCAGATCTAATTTTAACAAAGGGTAGTCTTCTATGCCACTGTCCTTTGGAAAAATGTGAGCGTGGAAAAGTTATCGCACCGGTATGGTGTACCGTCACCTTTCTATGGGAGCGCTTGCAGCTTTCCCCCGGCATAACCACCAGCCCAGGGAGCACTTGCGCCATGCCGGATGGACATGTTGCAATTAAAGGGACCGTGACCGCATTTCGGCCCCTAGGCTTTTTTTTAAACCATCTGGCAACCCTAGAACCAGCACCTTTTTTTTAAAACAAAAAAAGCACTGTTTTAAATAATTCCACAGAGGTGGTAGACAGACACAGAGATAAACATTTATTTAAATATATAAATATACATATATTTTATGGAATGTGGATGATGAGAGAAATAAGTATTTAGGTCGTTAAAAGAGGATCCAAATGACATTCAGGTTGTCCCAGGTAGAATTTCCACTGCTTTTGATAAATTAAGCACAAATATAAACATGGTGTGAAACTATTATCCAATTGGTATGTTTCATTTTAAGAACAGTAAATAGAATATTTCTCAGAGATTTACAGAAGAACTATTAAAATATTTGATTATTTCCAGAAAATTTAGTAGAAATTGGGGAGCAATTCTGCACTGGCATGGGATAAACTAGATGACAGCACCAGTGCTCATGCATGGTCCCTAGATCTAGATCAACGTATTAGGTGGTCACAAAGTAATTTTTCTACCAGACATGGCTGTATTGAAGATTTTTCTTCTTCTTCACAGCAGCCTGGAGGCCTGGTATGATAGCTAGGAGATAGTAATATGACCAGTTTCTGGAATAAATCTGAACATGGAACTAAGAGGGTTCTGAACATTTGGTATTCATGGCGGGGAGAGGGGAGAGGCCTCTTAGGTCTATTACAGATCTAGGTTCGTCCCTACCCTCATTTCCTCACTCAAGATGGAGGAGACTTCAGTAGTAGCCAGAATGGGTTGCTCGAGGAGGCTCGAGGAGGCCAGGAAACACACCAGTAGTCAGAAGTGCTGCTCACATACACCAGCGGAAGGTCCTGGTCAATAAGATAAGGGAGGAAACAGAAAATGACAGCTGGTTGTAGGGGGTAATCATACCCATAAAACAGCATCCCAACTATGTCAGTCAGCCACCCAGATTAATGTCAACATTTTAAAATCAGGGTGCCCAAAGCTAGGCCTGTAATGCCATATTTCGGCACCTGAATTTCAGAGGCTGTATGTCAGAAGAACTGAGGACCCATTAATCCCATCAAAGTTAGTGGTAGCTCAGTTCCTCTTTTATGTGCCTAACTTGGATGCACGAACATCACATCAGGCACTTTGTTAAAAAAATTTGGATTGAATTTCAGCACAATAACATAATCAACAATGCATTTGCATCCGAAATAGTTAAGAGTTTCTTGAGTATGCAAGATTGTGTCTTCTCATTGCCTTTAACAGAGGCGTGGGCTTCTCAAAATACAAGTGAACATGGTTGATAGTAGGATGCTTCTCTCTGGCAGTTCTGGACTGGTTCAGGAAGCTGTGGGTTTTTTGACATCCTGTAGCTGGCTGTTTTGGGGGCTGCCTATGCTTTTCTAAGGGTATGTCTAGACTGCATCCCTCTGTTGGCAGAGGGATGCAGATTAGGCAGGTCGACATTGCAAATGAAAGGCGGATTTGAATTTCCTGCACTTAATTTGCATAAAAATGGCCACCATTATTGCCAACTCAGCACTTTGTCGGCAAAAAGCAGCAGTCTAGAGGGGATCTGTTGAGAAAGAAAGCCTTTTTTGACAGATCCTGTAAACCTCATTACAGGAGGCCATTTTTATTCAAATCCCCGCTTCATTTGCAATGTCGACCTGCCTAATCTGCATCCCTCTGCCAACAGAGGGATGCAGTCTAGACATACCCTCAGAGTGGGGTGTGTCTATGGATTGTGCTCATAGGGATCCATCTAACTCAGTGGTGGGCAACTTGCAGCCTGCAGGTTACATGTGGCCCACTGAGGTTCCACCTGCAGCCTGGGCACCCCCTGTCTGCTCCTATCCCTCACGCACTTCTTTTACACTGGAGCACTGGAGCCCTGCACTTCCTACTCCTCCATTTTCCTCCCAGCACTTTCGGAGCATGATCTGCTGATTCATGATCTGTCCCCGCTTTTCCCCCATCACTCCCAGAGATTGAACAGCTTTGAACAGCTGGTTCATGGTGTTCAAGCTCTGGGAAGGAGGGGGAAGAGTAGGAAGTGTGGGGCTCCAGTGTCCTTGTGTGTAATAGGCAGGGGCGTATATATGGCAGGGCAAGCGGGGCGGCCGCCCCGGGCCCCGCGCTTCAAGAAGCCCCGTGCATGCGCCGGGGCAAGGGGGGCCCCATGAAATTGTGTTGCCCAGGGCCCCGCAAAATGGCCATCTTCCCCTGGTAATAGGCATGGCAGAGAGGGGGTGCACGGGTCACAGGTGGAACCCCAGTGAGCTGAGGGCTGCAGGTTACCCACCACTGTGGCACACTGAGATGAAGGAGGGCCACTCATGCAGCCCATTCATTCATCTTAGTTGCCCATCAGTGCATGGGAGGAAGGAAGGCTGGCTGTAGTAGCGAATATGTCCCTGCAGGCTGTCCTAACCACTTCATATCAGTTTGCCTGAAAGTGAATAGGAATATGGAAAAATATTACTTTCCTGTGTAGCTTCACCACACTGTGTGGTTGTATAGTCCATTTTCTTTGCATATGGTATGGGACTTGGGCCAGGTTAAGAATTTAGCCTAAGGACACTCAAACAGTGAATGCTACTATTATCACACACTGGATCATGATTATTCTGGGGACCTGATAGTTACATGGGCAATTATTATGCAAATTAATTATTTTTTAATGTTTAGCGTAGTATGTCCAGCAACACAGATATTCTCACCAATGCATTTTTGCTTTGCTTATTTCCAGGTTCCAGCTCTTCCCGCATACTGTGGACCTCTGCTATCAGAACTCTTTGCTGCTTACCAGGGAAGAGTTGTCTATAGTTGTGGTGGGACCTCTAACCTTGAATGCAGTGATGCTTCTTATGGTTCTGATCAGATGGGGCTGTCAGCAACTGTTTGACTCATTCCCTTCCTTCTTGTCAAAGTTTATCATGGCTATGGGACTCTGGACAGTGCTAGACCCCTTGGCAGTATTTGTAGTGGATGTATTCCTCGGGGTAAGTCACTTAAAATAACTTGCACATGAGTCCTTGACGTAGGAGATTGTTTTATTCAGTGAATGATGTGAAATTCCACCCTTAGCAACTGCACATGTAAGTTAAAAAATAAATGCAATAATATTGGTTTATATTACCTTTTTAGTAACAGTATTCTCATCTGATGGACACATTCTGTTGTTTTTGTGTACAATTAAGAGTACTGTACTTACAAACATATGGATATAATATAGAGAATAGTGCTGAAATGATTGTACGAGCATTGGAAAGGATTGCTGCAGTTATAGATGATATTTGAGATGTGTTAATGAGTGGTTTTACATACTAGTATTTCATATTTTTCTAGCAAAGAAACAGATATTAAATGCTATAGAAAATAGCATTCTCTTCTTTTCACTTAAAAGTCTACCATTTAAAATAATTCTAATGGCCTCTTTTGAAGATTTCAAAGTGCGTTAGAAAGGTACCATAGGTATTATGACCAATTTAGATAGGGGCACTGAGGCTTAAATTCTTCCCACAGGTTATTCAGCAACCCACAATGAGGGATGGAACTAAGCTTCCTTACTTCTACCATCCTAGATTCCTAACTGTAGACAGTGCTACCCCTTAAAAGTCCTTTTGAAAAGTCCCTATCCCTTGTTGTTCTCCTTGTGAAAATACTAGTTTGTGGGAAGTTTGATTTTGGCTATCACAGAGATGGTTTCGATAATACACTTCATTTCAGTATGTAGCAATGTGTTAGAGTTGCACTGAGATGTCTTTTTGTGACTGGCATAAAATATTAATAGAACTCTATTCTAATTGTCATTAGCTTCATGTGGCAATTTATTACTGGGAAGGAAGTTGATGTTTTCTCAACTTCTAAACTAGCAATACTTAAAAGAAAAATCTTTTTCTATACTGAATGTACACAAAAAATTTAGAATGACAGCTTAACTCTGCCTTGTTGGATTCATTCTTGTACTGAGGAAAAATTATAAGGGAAATCTCTTCCCTTCCCATAACACATGTATTTAAGAGCCTGGTACGCTCATGCTTTTAGCACAAGCTGAGTCCAAGGACTTCTTGTGAGAGGCTAACACTGGCCTAAATTTTCAAAATTTGGTGCTAAAATTAGACTCCAGAAAGAAAAGTGGGCTGATTTTCAGGGCATCTGTTGCTTCCACTAGCTCAAGTTATTTTTTGGTCCTGATTCATCAAAGCATTTAAGCATGTTCTTTACTATCCATATCCAGCAAAACATTTACGTACATGCTTCCCACAGATTTTAATGGAACTCAGGAACACAGTGAAAGTTAAGCAGACTTAAGTGTTTTGTTGAATAGAAAGAAGCTGTTGACTCAGACAATAATATTAATAATAATTTGGCATTTTTTTTTGGATAGCAATAATCAGCCTTTCTTCAGTAATAAGGCTAAAATCCTGAAATCTTCCTATAGTAGCCAGTGGAAGCTTTGTTATTGACTCTAGTAGAGCAATTTTGATCCTAGCAAGACCGTATTAATTAACAATAGATGTCAACCAAAGCACCAGGGCTCCTACTATTTGGTTAGAGAGAAACTTGAAATATGGATCATGTAATTAAGTTTTTCATTACAGCAGAGAATAGATTCCAAGTGAGAAGTTCTGAATGCACATTTCTCTTAGTACTTCATAGTGAAACTTTGGCAGTATTATCTACCAGGATGATCCTCATGAGGAACTCATAATTTTTTTTTCCCTCCTGGCATTCTTTCAGCACCTGTTTCATGTTTACTTGCCAATCAATTTATTTGAGACCAAGCATTTTCAAAATGTTATATTGTGGTTATGTAACCTGAGTTATTTTAATGTTAATCTTTTAATATTCTAAGTAGACTTACTGCTTATGAAGGATGACCAATTGCTTGCTCTGAAGAAGAGGGTTTCTTGTTCACTAATATACTTCTTTATTATCATTATTATTAAAGGAAAACACCACAATAGTTCATGATATAAGATTTTGTTTTGGATTTTTTTTTGGTAAAGCCACAAGTAAGAGAATATCTTAGATCTACAATTAAAACCTGATTCTGCAATGATCTGCTACGAGTTAGTATGGATAGATATCCCAGTGGTGAGGGCCATAGCCAGTGTTTCAGATAAGGCCTTGCTCTACCATGGGCTTCCTGTGTGATCTTGGACAAGTCCCTTAGCTATTTGAAGCTTCAGTTCCCCATCTGTAAGAAAGGGACAGCAGTACTTCCCTACTTCACAGGGGAGTCATGACGAGAAATATCATTAAGACTGTGAGGTGCTCGTATAGCATAGCAAAGTGGAACAGGCCACATGAGCACTGTGGGAAGATACTGTGCTTCCAACCATGCCTACTGCCATTGAAAACCGCAATAAGTACAGGTCAGTGTGTTCTCATATCAGGCCATTAAAGAACTCAGTAGATTTGAGATAATGCAGTTTGTGATTTGGGGAAGGGGGAGGGAGGAGAAAAGGGAAAAAGTGCAAGCAGCCCATTCTTTGCCATTACATCAAGACCTGCATGGGCCATACAAAGAACCCCAGGGATTGCATGCACCCCAAAGGCAGCAAGGAGGAGAGGTGGAAGTATGGTTCCAAATCGCCTTTGGGTCAAACCACAGAGCTGGCAACTTTCATCCTAAAGGTAGCAAAGTAACATTACTGGAAGGTAAAGGAAATGTAAATGGCATATCCTTTATTGGAAGTTGTTCCAAGTGTCATTTTGACAGGCACTAATGTGATTTCACATGGTCATCTAAAACTTTACCATTGTCACTATGGCTACATCTATACCGCAAGGCTTTTCTGCAAGAGGAAATGCAAATAGAGCGCTCATTTGCGTATATCACACTTGCATTTGCATTTCCCCCTCAGATCCCTTTTGTGCAAGAGGTTTTTACCCAAAAAAGCACTGTGTAGACGGCTCCTTTTTGCGTGAAAAAAACCTTTTGCGCAAGAGTTGTACTTCCTGAAAAAATGAGGAATAATATAGTGATACCTTGGTATGTTCATAACAATTTAGAGATGGTTGAAAAACAGGCAAAAAATTCACTAATGGTTTTAGAAAAATTCTTGTTTTATTTAAAGTATTATGTAACTTATTTAAACAAAACATACAGGCAGTCCCCGGGTTACGTACAAGATAGGGACTGTAGGTTTGTTCTTAAGTTGAATCTGTATGTAAGTCGGAACTGACGTCAGCCACTGCTGAAACTGATCAGCGGCTGATTCCAGGAAGCCTTGGGCAGAGCAACTCTGCCTCGGGCTTCCTGTAGTCAGCCGCTGATCAGTTTCAGCAGCAGCTGACTTGGGGACGCCTGGGGCAGAGCAGCTGGGGTACTGCTGCGTTGCTCCAGTAGCACGGCTCCTCGGCGCTACTGGAGCAAACCAGCAGCACCCCAGCTGCTCTGCCCCAGGCGTCCTGATTCAGCCGCTGCTGGTCAGTTTCAGCAGCGGCTGAATCAGGACGCCTGGGGCAGAGCAGCTGGGGTACTGCTGCGTTGCTCCAGTAGCACGGCTCCTCGGCGCTACTGGAGCAAACCAGCAGCACCCCAGCTGCTCTGCCCCAGGCGTCCTGATTCAGCCGCTGCTGGTCAGTTTCAGCAGCGGCTGAATCAGGACGCCTGGGGCAGAGCAGCTGGGGTACTGCTGCGTTGCTCCAGTAGCACGGCTCCTCGGCGCTACTGGAGCAAACCAGCAGCACCCCAGCTGCTCTGCCCCAGGCGTCCTGATTCAGCCGCTGCTGGTCAGTTTCAGCAGCGGCTGAATCAGGACGCCTGGGGCAGAGCAGCTGGGGTACTGCTGCGTTGCTCCAGTAGCACGGCTCCTCGGCGCTACTGGAGCAAACCAGCAGCACCCCAGCTGCTCTGCCCCAGGCGTCCTGATTCAGCCGCTGCTGGTCAGTTTCAGCAGCGGCTGAATCAGGACGCCTGGGGCAGAGCAGCTGGGGTACTGCTGCGTTGCTCCAGTAGCACGGCTCCTCGGCGCTACTGGAGCAAACCAGCAGCACCCCAGCTGCTCTGCCCCAGGCGTCCTGATTCAGCCGCTGCTGGTCAGTTTCAGCAGCGGCTGAATCAGGACGCCTGGGGCAGAGCAGCTGGGGTACTGCTGCGTTGCTCCAGTAGCACGGCTCCTCGGCGCTACTGGAGCAAACCAGCAGCACCCCAGCTGCTCTGCCCCAGGCGTCCTGATTCAGCCGCTGCTGGTCAGTTTCAGCAGCGGCTGAATCAGGACGCCTGGGGCAGAGCAGCTGGGGTACTGCTGCGTTGCTCCAGTAGCACGGCTCCTCGGCGCTACTGGAGCAAACCAGCAGCACCCCAGCTGCTCTGCCCCAGGCGTCCCCAAGTCAGCTGCTGCTGAAACTGATCAGTTTCAGCAGTGGCTGACGTCAGTTCCGACTTACATACAGATTCAACTTAAGAACAAACCTACAGTCCCTATCTTGTACGTAACCCGGGGACTGCCTGTATTTGTGAATTATCACTGAAGTGCGCAAATCAGATTAATCTCAGTAAAATGACAAATTTTAATCTACACAAATATGATATTGTTTGTATCCTGTTCCATATACTAGAGATTTTGGTATCTTTTACTGCCAACTGAATGATCATGTCTTCATGTCCTTATCAAGATTTAGTTTAAGACAAATGAGATGACATTTCATTACTGTTAATATCAGAGAGTGTAATAGTCAGATAGCTTTTGTTATACTTGGGATTTTCATGAAAAAGTGTTAACCGTAGTAACTGCAGTTGTATACAGCTATGAGGTTTTTAGTCTTGGGAGACTGATAGCTGCTAGGTTAGCCAAAGCTATTAGGTGATTTTCATTTCACCATATCTAAATCTTTTCCCTCAAAGAATCTACTAAGTAAGGGCTCAATGGCATAAAATAATTTGCCTCTGGGTCAGTTCTCCAATCAAATGCTGACTGTCATGGTTTCCCAAATTCAGTTTTTTGGTTATTGAAAATATGGATAGCTTCCATTTTCTAGCTAAGGGATTTCATGCAGACATAGTAATGCATGTACATAATTTCACATACTGCTTCATAAGGGGGATCTTAGGAATTTGTCTATCTGGACTGAATAGGGTCAACCCCTTTGGGCAAAAAAGCTTTGCAAACCCCTGCTGTCGACTGCTGTTGATCTAATTGTACTTGCTTCCACTGTTTTTCCCACCTCATTGGGTCTCAGTGAAGCTCTGTGAATCTACCGCCCTCTTTGACTGATGGTATTGTTTAGAGAAGCTGTGCTAGGTGACAGCTAGCAAGACATATGCATGTTCTGATACTTTAGTCTGGCACTTTGTACAATTTACCTTTGTTTTCGAGATGTAGCTACCATTGATGTCTGGATTTGAAAATGAGACTGGAGGCAAGCCAGTCTCAAAAGTGAGAGCTCTACAGACTACTTGTGGTGTCTGGTAAGGACTAGTGTTTTTCTTGTAATATAGGTCCCACCTATTTGGAATAATGCCCTATCACATGGGTTTTTTGCCCATTCAGCATTCTTGAAAAGTTACTGTGTAAGTCTTTTTAATATCACTGCATTCCTTGCAGAAATTAAACTCATGTTATCAATTGAAAATAAGGCAGTGCTCCTCCATACTCATTTTAATTTTTTCCAACAATGTGTTCATTAAATCCACATCTGGTTGTTTGCAAATAAAGCCTAGGTTTTGCTCCATGAATTATCTGTAGAAGGCTTGATTCTGACTTCATTAAAACAAGAAAAGATATAGTGAATACAAGTAAGCCAACTTGTATTTTTTTTTGTTTGTTTTACATACAGGTTCCTAAGAGATTTTTAGTTATGTGCCCTGCAAATTAAATTTTAATCCTTATTTTAAAGAAGTGTTCATTCTTCTCTCTGTGTGTGTGTGGCCTTCTATAAATAGACTAACTGAGTCTGCCATTTTCTCATTGGATTCTTTTTCTTTGTATATGTCAGCGACTTACCTACAGAGCAGAGAAGCCCATTGCTGATGCTGCAAAGCTCTATTGGCTCTTTTCAAGAACAGAGCAATCAGGAATTCCTGGTGCATTGATTACCGTGGTGCTTTACACAATTTTGTTCATTATTTCATCTACAGTATTGTTCCTCTATTTTCTAAGGTAAGCCTTTTTTACTTTTACCAGTGTCACTGCTATCTTCAAGGCTACACGTTCCACTGCTATAGCATCCTATAAGATGTTAGGTGATGCCAGCAAATAATATGTTATCATCTGAAGTAGTTCCACCTGGTCACAGTCAATCAGGGGTTAACTCCTGCACAACTTCCATTGCACTGGTGCTGAAGGGAAGACAGTGAGACAGAGAACTATATTTGAAGCCAATCAAGTTTCTCAGCAGGGAGACATTAAGTAACTTATGATGTAATGTTACTTGCTTTGGGGTTAAAATTTCTAAAGTAGTTAAGTCATGCCTAAATTGCCCTGACTTTTGAAGTCCTATTGAGATGATTTTGAAGATTTTTACTTTTGGATTTACAAGTAGGGAGTTTCTGAGGGATGGAGCAAGCCAAGAAAGAAAGGGGTAGGGTAGAGGACACAGCATTTTCCCTGATCTTTGGCTGTTGCACGAGTCCTTTTGGCTGCTTTATGTTTCAAACTAGGGCTATTGTGGCTTGAATGCAAATGGTCTCCTCCCATCTCTAGCATGATTGTTCTTCGTCCATCTTCTTGCCATCTTTCTGGCAGGAATTCTTAGCTGTACAAGCACCACTGGTGTGCACACACGTGGACTCATGCATGGTATTGAGCGGCAAGCAGGAACTTTGATTACATTTTAACACAAAAGAGAGGGCAGTGCCTGCCCATCACCCATACTGTTCTACACCAGGCATTAAATTGGATCCAGTAAAGAGGTTCCTTACCATATAACCCATAACGAGTACCGGGATACACAGATTCTTGCCATATAATCCATAATACAAAGTAGGCTTTCCTCATCCTATCTACCAAGGAGACAGGGGATGCAAAAAGGTGAAGATCTCATGCTACAGGGGCTACAAATCTTTCCCATGGACCCATCACCAAAATCACAGTTCTTTTACCTTTGGGAACCATTCATATTATTCTGTAATAACATGAGAAATGAGACACAAATTGCAACAAATAAACAATTCCACCCAGTACCTCATTTAGGTTCTGAACACATTTCTACTTAACTCAGTGTAGTTAGATGGTGCTGCAAGGAAGGCAAAAAACGTCCCCTATTCCTCCACCAATTGGCACAAGGGAGAAAAAAGAAATCATTCTTAACCCTACATGGGTGATTGGATAGATCTTCAGCATCTTTGTGGCTGAGTTCCCTTTTCTAATTTGGGTGGGTAGGGTGGGATGCTGTTATGGAGCTGAAAGACGATCCACACGAACCCCATCCCAGATTAAATCCTGGAAGCTGGGAAATGCTGGCCAGTCAACATCCCTTTCTCTAGTGCAGTGTTTTCCAATTTTTTTTGACCACGGAACCCTTTCAAACTCAGAAAAATTTCAAGGAACCCCCTAGCCAGGAATTAAGTTTGTCGAGCAAAAAACCACACCCAAACACACACAGACATCCAGTACACCACAATTGATAGTAATAAGATGCTAAATACGGTCATGAGATCACCATTCATTTAAATTCAACATATTGAATATAACACCATTCATTTATATTCAGCATATTAAATATGTACAATAAATAAAACTATCAAATAATATTAATTATATTCATAGTTTTCAATGCGAAGAGTGGTTTTTCTTCTTTTCTTGGCAAATTCTTTTTATATTTGGTTTAATACTAGAAAGTTGGATTCGCATATCTGGCGCAGCATTCAGTCGATTTCTGTATTTTGTTTTCATTGCTGCATAGTTCGAGAACCCAGTTTCGCACAAGTATGTACTGGCAAAGGGTAACAGCTGACGAATTGCGCGTCTTGATAAAGATGAATATTCTTGACTTTGACATAAGTCACTCCAAAATGTAATCAGAGAAACTTCTTTAAATTTTTGTATTAATTGGCCATCTGAAGTGATTTCAATTAGGTTTTCATAATCTTGTGTAGAAAAACTGACTGGCTTTTCTGTTAAACTTAATGGATTTCGAATCCAGTTATTGTTGTCATTGATGTTTGGAAAATACTTAATGATGTTCATGTATAAATCGCGGAGATGATCTGCAATGTCGCTGCGAATATCTTCATCAAGTTTGTATCCATTTTCTTCAAGGAAATCATTCAGAGTTGGTAAACAATCCAAATCATTTTGTCCTACAGATGAGATCCAAAACTAGCTTCCATGACAAAGACAAAATTTTGTCTTTTGCATTAAAAATATTTATTCTTTCCTTGCAGCGACAGATTTACTTCATTTAGTTTTGTAAAGATGTCTGCAAGATACGCGACTCTAGATAACCACAGAAAGTCTGTTAAACGATCAGACAGTTGGAATTTGTGATCCATCAGATTTGCGGAGAGCTCATGATGCAATTCAAATAATCTAACCAGCACTTTTCCTCGTGATAGCCACCTGACTTCTGTATGTAGAAGCAGGGCTGTGTGCTGACTACCCATATCTTCACACATAATTTTGAACAGTCTTGATTGTAATGGTCGAGTTTTTATATAATTAATAATCTGTACTGCTTCGTCCAACACATTTTTAAGAGAGGGAGAAATATTCTTAACTACCAGAGCATGTCTGTGGAGAATGCAGTGACTGCTGGTGCAGTTTGGTGCTACATTTTTTATTCGTGTTACAGCGCCAACCACTGTTCCTACCATTGCTTTGGCACCATCACTGCACACATCAACACATTTTTCCCAGCTTATTTGATGTGTTTTCAGAAAGTTATTGATACAATTGAATATATTCTCACCAGTTGTATTGGTTTGCAAAAATTCACATAAAAGTAAGTCTTCTTCAATAGAACTATTAAAATCATAACGGACAAATACAAGCAGAACTGCAAGACCTACAACGTCAGTGGACTCGTCTAATTGTAATGCATATGCATCACATAAATGCAGCCAAAAAATAAGCTCCTTCTCGATGTCAGCAGCAAGATCGTCAATACGACGTGTAACAGTATTGTTGGATAGTGGCACAGCCTCAACTTTTTTACTAGACTCCTGATCCAACATACACATCACAATATCTTTTGCACATGGTTTTATGAGTGATTCCCCAATAGTGTGTGCTTCTTTGGCGAGCGATATATGATAGCTTACTTTGTAAGATGCTTCTGTTGCATTTTCATTATCAGATTTGGCAATTTTTGACATGAAGAGTTTACTTTTTTCAAGCAATTCAAGCTTTTGCTTAAAAAAACTAATGTCTTTATCTTTGTATTCTGGATGATTTGTTTCAAAATGTCTTCACAATTTAGCAGGTACTAAACAACTATTAGATAATATTTTGTTGCACACTACACACTGGGCACCTGGAGCATCTTCATTTTCATTGCTTGTGAATCCAAATGCCAAATAGTCCTCACAATACCTGCATTTCTTATTAGTCAGCTGAAATTTTTCATAATTAACTTGAGCTGCCTCAGTATTTTCCTTGCTGGTTTCAGTAAAAATATAGGAGTTTGAAGTACTCACTTTTCTCTTTAAAGTTCCTTCTTTTAACCAACGATCCATGGGGAATTTTGATATTAGATTGAATTCTTAAACTTAAAGTCACACACAGGAGCCACATGTCCTCACAGTGTGTATGGGGATTTGTTCCGATCCTCACAGTGAGTAGGAGTTCCGGTG